AAAACAACAAAAAAAATATATCACACACACACACACACACACACACACACACACACACACACACACACACACACACACACACACACACACACAAAGTTTCGCGGCATCAATGTCACTGTCTGCTTTCACTTTCATATCATCCCCTCTGCTGCGCATGGATGTGTGCGTGGAACAGACATGGTAATATTCACTCAGGTAGGTGTCAGCTTTCATTGGGGCGGGAGTGTGTGTGTGGGGGGCGTCATGTTGACACACGCCCGTGTCGCCTTGGCAACCAGCAACAATTATCCGCTCACGACCCTCCCCGTGATTCATCAACACGTCGGGTCGCACATGTACCGGGCCGTGCATACATCAGCACTTAACACGCTGGCATGACACGACTTGTCAGACTTTGGGGAGGTGCCATCACACACAGACATACACACACACACACACACACACACACACACAAAGCATCTCCAGAAACATCACGTGACTGCTTCTCCCTCCTCATCCCTATTAAAAATACTCTTCTTCCTCCCATCACTGCTTATTTCCCTGCTCTCTTCCCCTTCTCTCTCGCGCAGTGTGAGTGCGAGCATGGGCCCAGCAGGCAACAACACACACGCACACACACACACACATACACACACACACACACAAGCAGGCAGGCAGCAGGTCATGCTGAGGCTCAGCGCTTGCTGCTCAACACTGAGCCTGTGGCTTTTTGTCCCACCTCCCTCTGTGTTTTCATCTCCTCGGTCTTCTCTCCCTGTTACCTCCGCCAAGGAATTGCAATCCAATTCAAATAGGTTCATTTTCAGATTTTTTTTTTTTTATTGTGATTGGTCTGACCTGGTGTCATCAGTGATTTTTTTTTTCATCAAGAAATTTAAAGAGTTGGAAAATAGCTGGAGAAATATCTTCCCGGGGGTGCCGTGCTGCATTATGTAGCCTTAAGTTAAAAATAGGTTCGGTATATTTGGGAAAGCCTGTTTGCTGAAAAATGGATAGCTGCAAGCTTTCGGTGCAGAAGGAAGCGGTCAGCCACGAAGGTACATTTGCATGAAGATTTATTTTCACCCGTTGCACTGCTCATTGTTGTATTTAGCTCAATGAGTGATTTTGTTTGCCGTAGCACATGAGCTTGTCATTTTTTTTTGTTCTGACACAGATGCAAAATTAAATCGCTCAACCCCGCCGTGGCTGTTTTTCCATTCCCCCTTTGAGCCTCACAAATATCCCATTTGAGTCCCCGGCTGCTGCGCGGGAAATGATCAGTCGCGGCATCTAAATGAACCGAGCCCAAGGGTGAGGCTAATCCCATCATAGTTTATGACCACGCCTGGCAAACCCGCTTTGGTTTCTCCCGTGGAAACTTTGCACGCTAACCTGGCGCCGCGCGTGCTGTCAGTCAACCGATGCTTAGTATTCACATCACGACGGCGTGCTTTGAAAATGCATGACACATACAGCGGATGGCGTGGCCAGGTGTAGCAAGGACGTGCTGTAGGTGTCGGTCGCCGCGAGGGATTGCTTTTTTTTTTTGCCCTTGATGACGCACTTGGGAGAAAAGGGCAAAGGACGTTTCTATTCGTCTCGCTTTCTTGATTATAGTGATGAATTATTGTGTTCGGGGAAATATAATTCACTTCAAACTGATCCTCAAATACATACGTTTAATACAAACATGCAAATAGCAACGGTGACATGTTAGCCAATGGCTGCTACGTTGGTCGTATGACAGTGGGTGACGATAAAACGAAATGTTACCGGTTCAAAGCTTTATAATTTGGATTGTACACAGAATTAGGTGGCGAATATTTGAGTGGATACGTCGCAAATTTCCCGCCGCTTTTCAATCCAGAACGTGTTCATTGACAATTGAAGTTTTAGCGCATTAATCAAAATGTGTACATCCGTGCGCTATCCGTATTTTGTTCACGATTTTACACCTGTTATTGACCTGACACGCCACGACTGGTTTTGTCGGCCAAATTCCAGATTTTGTCGCGTCCGTTTTAATCCTCACCTGATCCCTGTTCTCGATTTCACCCTACTTCTACCTTTCCCATCAGCTCTTCCTTCCCCCCCGGCCCCCCCTTCGCCCGCTCTCAAGCACTCGGCCACACTCCACTGGCTTCAGCAAACGGCTCCCCTGTCATATTATCTCTCACGCACACAAACGCACGCACGCGCACGCACGCAGTGGGGCACATGCAGGCACAGGCACCGGCATATGTTCCTCTGAATGAATGGTCTATGCACATGCACATGCGTGGAGATAACACACACACACACACTCGGAGTCCAAGGTTACAATGGTGGGTAAGAGGGGCCCCATTGGAAGGGGAAAAAGTTGGACGGCGCCGCTCGAAAACATCTCGCGACACACACTTTTTTCTGTTTTTTTTATTTTTTTTAACTGAATTAATGATGAATGTCATAACTTAAGGAAAGCCAGCTGCGAGATGACAAAACAGCTTCAAAGTGATGATGCTGCGCCTTAATAAAAGACACATGAGTTTTTTTTTTTTTTTTTTTTTTTTTACAGTTTAGGGATTAATTTATCGCCTCAGTCAGTCTCTTAAGGACAGTGTTGCAATTTCAACTTTAGGTTTTTTTTTCGCGCCACATTTGCACACATAAAGAACCAAAATTAAATTCATATTTTATGTACAGGCCAATGTAGTGCTCCTATTTTTTTTTCGCGGATTGTGATGCTCATGAAATATTTCACTGTACAGGGCTGAAAATGACTGGACTTGAATGAAATGATGAAAAATGACAGCCTTTGATTGAAAACAGACCTCTTTGAAAACAAGATCAGTCAACCAATGGAAACACCACCGCAGAGCCTCCTCTGTGGCTTCAAAGCAAACAGCCCAAAGACAAATAATTGAAAATGTGGAATTTCAAACGATTTACAGTGTTGCAATTTAAACTTTAGTTGTTTTTTTTTTTCGCGCCACATTTGCACACATAAAGAACCAAAATTAAATTCATATTTACTGTACAGGCTAATGTAGTCCTCCTATTTTTTTCGCGGATTGTGATGCACATGAAATATTTCACTGTACAGGGCTGAAAATGACTGTAGACTTGAATGAAATAATGAAAAATGACAGCCTTTGATTGAAAACAGACCTCTTTGAAAACAAGATCAGTCAACCAATGGAAACACCACCGCAGAGCCTCCTCTGTGGCTTCAAAGCAAACAGCCCAAAGACAAATAATTGAAAATGTGGAATTTCAAACGATTTCAGTTCAGATTTACATCGGCATTTTTCAGTTTGCTGTTGCATGCGTGCAGAACGTCCGACTTCACTGTACTCTCTTCTTTGCTCGTTTTGAAGGACGATTTGCCCCCCTCACTGCGGCAAAAAAAAAAAAAAAAAGAACCGGAACACAAAAAAAGGTGTCAGCCAAGTAAGAAAAGTGAATAGACTTCTCCAGTTGACTTTCCTGTTTCCTGTGTGGTCCGCTTAAAGGGTTAAAGCCCAGAGTGAACTGAATTGTAAGAAGTTGGTTTCCAAGGGAAACTGTTCGCACAGTTCCAGCTGAGGCGGGACGAACCAACTGCCTGGCGCGAAGGGGGGGGGGGGAAGGACCATCTCGGAAAGAACGAGATAATAACGCTTCGTTTCGGTTATAACAAGTCATCTCGCTCGCTATTATGATTTAATCGCGCGGATACACGCGGTGGCCTTGATACAAGCGGTGAAAAGTGAAGTTCGATTAATACTGGCATGTAGGCGCACCCCTCCCGAGCGGGTAGAGTGCGGGGGTCCTTGCCAAGTCGGTTTGAAAAGAGCAGACAAAGGCTTGGAGTGCAGGACGCCCCTCGCCTCCCCTCGCAACATTCATCCTCCGGGAGTCTTTCTTGGCCGCTCCTCCCGCCATGGATCAGGTCGCCGGAGTGGGTCGCGTCGCTCTGACTTCCACTTTCCGCCTCTGAAATGCACGAGCGTCTGGATCCGCGCCGGGCCGAGAGTGGACGCCTTTTTGCGGCCAGAATACAAGAAGGACGCGTCGTGTGAGGGAAGGAGAAAGAGAGCAAGAGAGAGAGAGAGAGAGAGAGAGAGAGAGAGGAGGGGGGAAGGTTTTGACGCCGTTTCCTCCTCTCCTCCGCCTCCTTCTTCTTCCTCCTCTCGTCCCCTCTCCTATTTTGTATTTTTTTGGGGGGGCGGAGGGAAGGAATAAACGCTTTTTGGGGCTGTTTTGCGTCGCTTCTTTTCGATGTGACTGCGCCTGCAGAAGCCGGCTCACGTTGCGCTCACAAGAGTTGGATCGATTGCGCACACTTTTGAGTGCGAGGGAGGAACGGAACTGAAAAGTCAGCGGGGTGGGAGGGGGGTGGGTGGGGGGTGTTGCTACTTTTTTGGAATTGTACAGTGAAGATTTTTTTTTGTTTTTGGTTTTCTCAGCCGTGGAGGTGCGGAGGATTGATTCTTATATGCCTGGGGTTTGAAAAACAATGGAGACGCACATTTCGTGCCTCTTCCCGGAAATTTTGGCCATGATTTTCAGCTATCTGGACGTGAGGGACAAAGGCAGGGTGGCCCAAGTGTGCCTGGCTTGGAGGGACGCGTCGTACCACAAGTCGGTGTGGCGGGGGGTGGAGGCCAAGCTGCACCTCCGGCGCGCCAACCCCTCGCTGTTCCCCAGCCTCCAGGCCAGGGGCATCCGAAGGGTCCAGATCCTGTCGCTGCGCCGCAGCCTGAGCTACGTGATCCAGGGGATGCCCAACATCGAGTCGCTCAACCTGTCGGGCTGCTACAACCTCACCGACAACGGGCTGGGCCACGCGTTCGTGCAGGAGATCCCGTCGCTGAAGGTGTTGAACCTGAGCCTGTGCAAGCAGATCACCGACTACAGCCTGGGCCAGATCGCCCGTTGCCTGAAGAACCTGGAGGTGCTGGAGCTGGGCGGCTGCAGCAACATCACCAACACGGGGCTGCTGCTCATCGCGTGGGGCCTGCGCCGCCTCAAGAGCCTCAACCTGAGGTCCTGCCGCCACTTCTCGGACGTGGGCATCGGCCACCTGGCCGGCATGACCCGCAACACGGCCGAGGGCTGCCTGAGCCTGGAGCACCTGACCCTGCAGGACTGCCAGAAACTGACGGACCTGTCCCTCAAGCACATCTCCAAGGGGCTGGCCAAGCTGCGGGTGCTCAACCTGAGCTTCTGCGGCGGCATCTCGGACGCCGGCATGATCTACCTCTCGCACATGACCTCCCTGTGGAGCCTCAACCTGCGCTCGTGCGACAACATCAGCGACACGGGCGCCATGCACCTGGCCATGGGCACGCTGCGCCTGTCGGGCCTGGACGTGTCCTTCTGCGACAAGATCGGCGACCAGACGCTGGCGTACATCGCCCACGGGCTGTACCGGCTCAAGTCGCTGTCGCTGTGCTCGTGCCACATCTCGGACGACGGCATCAACCGCATGGCGCGGCAGATGCACGAGCTGCGCACGCTCAACATCGGCCAGTGCGTGCGCATCACCGACAAGGGGCTGGAGCTCATCGCCGACCACCTGACCCAGCTGGCGGGCATCGACCTGTATGGATGTACCAAGATCACCAAGAGGGGGCTGGAGAGGATCACGCAGCTGCCCTGCCTTAAAGTGCTCAATCTGGGACTCTGGCAGATGACGGACAGCGAGAAAGTCAGGTGATGGATGGCCAAGGGAGGACGGGACGCGCCCGGTCGGGAAGTGTCGACCGATCTCATATTGAGTTGGATGCAATTTCATAACATTCGCCCCCCCCTGCCCCCTTCTCCCATCCCAAGCTGTGCCCATTTGGAGCAAAGTGTCAACTTTTTTTTTTTTTTTTTTGCGCACGCGGTGATGAGGACCTCTACAATGAGCTATTTCTTAATTGTCTGTGTATCAGATGCAGAGTACAGAGGAAGGTCTGCTCCAAGTGGATGAGTTAGTGCAGACATACAAACATTCCTGCAGCTGGTTCATCGCAAACGTCAGTGAATGTTGCTTCAAATTGAAGTGATTTAGAGATCTTTTTACCCTTGTTTATCGATCGAAACGAATCAGGGTTCCATTTTTTTTTTTTTTTAAGGGAGAATGTTTCTCTCTCTCTCTTTCTCTTCCCCCGGATAAAAATACCCCGAGCTCATTCGGAGACATGCTTGGAATAAGGAGCAATCGATTATTTTTCTTGCGCTCTCCGCTTCTCGGGTTACAAGCTCGGGCCACATCTCTCTCTCTGTTTTTTTTTTTTTTGTTCCCCCCCCCCCCACACACACACACATCCACACCGGAAATGTGTGTGTGTGTGTGTGTGTTTATTTTGATGTAATGCAATGACCTGCTTGATAAAAACGAACCTACGGATGTGCGTCCTGCTGAAACAGCCGAAGAAGAAGAAGAAAAAGAAAAAAAAAGATGTACTGTATATTATGTTTGTAAAAAAAAAAATGTTCAAAAGAAACAACAGAACATGCAGAATCCCAAACTTAAATTGTTTTATATTCTTACATGCAAAAAAAAAAAACAACAACAACAACAAAACAATTAAAGATATTTATATAATGAACCAAAAGCGTTTTTTTTTTGTTTTTTTTTGGGGTTGATGTTCTTGACTCTCCACATTGGTGAGGATTTGCATATTTATTTTGGCGCCCACCCCCCCTTGGTCCCCCTCACCACCACCACCACCACAACCGCCATCTTCCTCATCATCATCCTCATCATCATCAAGCCTGCCTTTCTTTCCGAGGGGCTGAGGAGAGGGAAAAAAAAAAATCTGTTGTGTTGTTTTATTATTTATGAGCGGCACTCAAAATGGATGCCTTGATTTCGCCGCGCCGTGCCGCCTTTGTAATTAATGAACGCGAGGCACGGCAACGGCCACAGTTCTATATTATCGGATGCCATTTGTTATTATTATTATTTTTTTAATTATTAGCGTATTATTTACCGGGATGGCATCTGTGTAGAATGTGTGATTCCAGACACGCAGTTAGAAAGTCAGGTTTTGGCAAAGTGATTTTTTTTTTTCCCCGTCTCTCTCTTGTTCAGTCACGCATACCAGATCTTAGGCCAGCCAGGAGACCCCCCACTTGCCTTTTCACCCCCCACCCAGCCCCCTCCCTCCACACACATTTCTTTTTAACATTCCACACCATCATTCAAAGCATTTAGGCATTCCCCTCTGTGTCCCTCCCGATGCCTCGTCCGCTGGGGGGTTGGGGGGGGGGACGGTTGGCGATTGATAGAAAAAGCCCAGCGGAGGGATTGTTGACCGCAGGGACAGAATGTCAGTGTTTGCCGTGGGTTTTTTTTTCACGACGCCCGTTGCTGTTGAATTGCCCTCGAAAAACAGAAAAAATAAAATAAATCACATCTATATTTTCAACATCTTATTTCGAGCCGCATCGATTGCAGCGACCGTCGCAGAAGCCACAACGTGTAACTCCGCCCGGCTAATAACGCCAATGACAGTTTTAACGCCGCCTTCCCTTTTTTACGGCTCCTCGTCAACTATTATGTTTGATTACGAGTGCAAATAAAACAGGCGACGGCCGGGTGGCCGTCCGCACGCGCGCGCGCCAAGCCGACGATTGCGTACGCCACGGCCGCCGCGCTGGGGATAAATCACGTAAAATAAGTGAGCGTTTTGCGGTATTTTTTTCATGAGGGGAATAATTTATTTGAAAATATGCGCGGCCGTAAAAATAAACCGCGCAGCGTAGTAACTTCCCCCCTCCGGATGCTTTTTATCACACCAGTCAATCAAAAGTGAGCGCTGGAAGTGTCGGTGTGCCGAATGACGTGGCCAGTAAGTCGGAAATTGCGAAACCGAGCCGTTTAAAATGTCACTTTTTTGATATCCGTGCACTTTATTTCGTTCCAACTTCAAGAAAGAAATGAGCATTTGGGGAGTTTTTCGGCATCCATCCACGCTTCTGGTCTCAGTTAGCAAGATAAGCTAATCGACACCCCCCCCCCCC